GCTTGGAGAAAAGGTGTTCTCATTGGTAATTGACCCCGCACGGTATCCGAATGTAATGGTCCCAAAGTTCCTTAGGGCCTCGCTGATGTGCTTTTGAACGAGCCATAGACTTGCTAAATGTATAAATGGAGGCTTCCACGGGCTGATTATTGAAATTGGTAGACATCGCAATAAACAAAGAAGACATAGTGAGTATGGAGCGATCCTGTTGGTTGAAACGAGTGTTTTTTTTTAGACTAAGGGGGAAAACGATAGACTGACTAAAGGTCTCTTGTTCTTGTCAGTTTCCATCAGTCAGTCTATCACTTACCCATCTTTTGTCTATTGCAAGTACACGCTTCCACTGACAGGATCGCTTCATCTCTCCTATATCTTCTCTGTCTATCGATTTGTCTATCAAAGTAGTCAAAAGGAATACGGAGGAATCCTATTGGTGGAAGCGGGTGGTTGCAATGGACAAAAGAGGTAGTTAAGAAACTAGCTAGTGGCAATTCACGAGAGACCCTATAGTAGGTCCATAATTTTCTCCATAAATCTATGGGAACTACCCATTTCAACCGGTGGGATCGCTCCATACTCTCTGTTTCTATTTTGTCTATTGCTTTGTCTATCAAATTCAATAATCAGCCCCCAGCCCAATCTACCCCATCAGTAAGGTTTTAGGGGGCCTCAAGACGGTTAGATTCTGATTCTTTGTGGGCAATTATCCATGAAAACATTTTTTTCTCGGCCTCTATGCTCATTTGAAAATCCAGCCGTATACTCAGGGCCCTACGGGCCCTCACTTTCCCGGTCACATGGGCCCCCTACAACCGTTTTTTTCTATTATTCTTCGCAATTATTTTATCTCTGCGAGCGGTCTGATCAAATCTTCCAACTTCTTTGGAAGTCTTGGAGATTTTGGAGAGTTGCAGAGGTTGTGAAACTGGAATTTCAGGGATCACGGGCCCTTTAAGTTTAGGCTTTATGACTCCAAATTGAGGCCATAACGAAGTTTTTTCTTCGTTCTGCAAATTCGTCAGTTTGCTGATAGGCGGTATTGTTCGCTAGCCATCGCTTCGTTTCTTGGAGACGTGGACAGCCTTCAATTTACAAAGTATACAACCCGCAATGTGCGGCACCCCAGGCCCCTGAGCGCTAATCCCAGGGTTGCCACAGTCAGGGAATACCGGGAAAACCAGGAAATGTCAGGGAATTTTAAAAAGCCAGGAAAAACCTGGAAATGCCAGGGCAAATGACGAAAATGTCAGGGAAAAATTGTCAAATCACCTTCATTTGCTTTCTCGAGTGGGTTTGACGTTCCGGACAACAAATTTTGCCTGAAAACTATTTCAAACTATATATTTTTAAAAATCTGGCATCCGTCCAATTGTCAGGGAATTTCACCATAATCTGTCAGGAAAATCAGGGAAATCAGGGATATATCAGGGAATTTAATTTTTTAAATTCTGTGGCAACCCTGTAATCCGGCCTTGAGTATATTAAGGTGGGGGGGGAGGGGCTCTGTTTTCCAAATTCGAGGGCCCTACATCGAACAGACGTATCTCTTTCAATCGGCAGGACGCTGGAGCTGATCTCCGGCGAAAAAAAATTCGCTCCCTCTCTCTGACACTCCCGAGAGCGGGCCGCTGCGAGGGAACGTTTTCCGAGGGCGGCCATGGGGGCGCTGTTTTCGTTGCACGGGAAACATTAACATGTAATGGAAGATGCTCAGGTAAATAATAACTTGCTAATAACTCCTGGGAGTAGGGGGGGT